AGTACATTTTTCATGTCAAATGCCTGCTAATAAAAAATTTGGCCATCCTGTAACGTCCTTTTTTTTAAAATGTTCGTTTTGACTTCCACATCATGTAAGAGTACAAATACAATATATTTTTAAAGACATTTTTTTTTGAAATTTTAAGGGTCAAATTCAAAAAATATTAAGTAATTTCATTTTACATATAAATATGTATTTAGAGTGACAACAGAAGACGTCAAGTAGTTCTTAAATTATTAGTGGCTAATTTCGTATTAATAACAAAATATTAGTAAAAATCGTGCCCGTTATGAAACTTTTTAAATCTGTTAACTCTTTTTAATCTATTAATATACAAAATTAAAAACTATCGGATGTCTGCTGCCTTCACTATTAATTTAAGAAGAAAATGTGAAGTAACTGCAGTTTTAAAAATTTAAAGATCCAAATATTATTTATATTTATTACCTTTTTACGATTAAGAAGATTACACTATTATCCCATTTCCCTTGAAATGTTCTACAGTGCAAACCTCTTTAAATGAATGTAATCTCTTTGCAACTTTAATAAAGTAATACAAAAGTTACGAATCATTTTATATTTAACAGCTCGATGTTATGCTCATATTGAAAGTATAGAATGTAACACAAAATTATTCAGTTTTGAAAATCATTGCAACAGATATGTAACATATTTGAAACTGAAAAAAAATGCGAGTTGAATTAGCACAGTTTGCTTATTTTGATAATAATTCTTTGCCTTCGCAATTTTTGCATAGAGTATCGGAAAACTCTGTGTACATGGAGCGATCACAGATTCTTGAGATCAGAGTGGTGTTGACTCAATAGTTCGTGAGGGGGTGAGAAGTTCGTTTTTCTTTGATTACTTTAAACAATACAATTTTTTTTAGTAGGTAAGTATGTTATTAAAGTAGTTACAAATTCGTGATGTACCTACACATTAAATGTCTTAAAATGCAAGTGCAAAAATCACCCCTAGCTACAATCGTCCGGAATTTTAATTTTAGAGGGTTGACAAACCAATTTAGTACATTTCGATTGATATTATCTGATTCCAGAAACCTGTGGTTGCTCAATGTACACGGTGTTATGAGACTGTATATTTGAAGAAATTACTGCAAAAATTGAAGAATTAAATAATTTTTTTTTATCTTCTTNATGTAATTATTACGTTTAATATTTATATTAAAAATTATCTAACTTCATCGATATAAAAAATCAATAATTTTGCAAAAAAGTAATGTCACAGAAGGCATTCAACAATTATAATAAATGTCGGTTCGTTGTTATTGGCACTGGCTACCCACATATGGACTAAGCTTGCCATCCATATTTGGCCCGAAATGACAAACCAGGTATTTGCCATGCTTGGTCCAGTATTGAAAGTACGGAATAAGCTGGGTCTTGTAGTGACTTCTTACATGTGTTACCACTTATCATCGTCATAAGTCATAAGACTTGTTGAACACCTCCACTCTTACCTATACTGAGCTAATCTTGCATTTTCTTAAAATTAGAACATCCCACATCGTTAATCATTTGTGAACAGTAATCTAATCTAGGTCTACCTCTACTCCTTTTATCTCCTGTTTCGTTTCTAATATGTCTCTGACTAGCACTTTATGACTGAGGTGTTCTATCAACCTATTTCTTACTGACTTTCATAGAGTCCTCTGTTCTGCTATTCTTTCTAATACCTCTTCATTTCTAACCTTCTCTATCCACGGTATCCTCATCATTCTGTAACACCACATTTCGAACGCTTCTAACCTTTTCCGCCGTGTTCACCGTCCATGTTTCGCACCCGCTATATGATACTATTTCATTCACAAAAACATTTCTTTGAAATTTTAACAAATTCTCTTCTGTTTTCAACTTTGGCCCAACCATGTAGCTACTCAAGGGACATAAGCGCACTGCAAAAATAAACATATCCAATTGACCATCAATTTGCGGTAGAATAACATTTTTTCTTAAATTACATACTAGTGGTAACAAACTAGACATTTCCTCATGAAAATAGAATTTGGTTCTATTTGTTTTTTATTTATAGATAACTGAAGTGAAAACTGTAGGTTTTGTAATATTTTTACTATTTTTGGGTCACTGTTTTTGTTTTCTTAATATTAAATCGATAACTAAATCGGTTTACATTTACCAGTTTCCACACTGGTATTATATTTACTTAAATTACTTCGTCCTTTTTATTTCACATTCCTATTACACTTATGTAACTGATATATGCGAGTAAAATGAATTAATTAAAATAATAATAGCACTTTAAAAATTCAAATTGTGAAAAACCATTTCATTTTGGGCTGATAAATGACACGATTCTTTCAAAGTCGCTGTTTATTCGGTTATATGATATAAGATGCCGAAAGTTAGTGACTAATTACATTACCACTCAAATAAACAAATGAGGTTACTTAATTTGAATTTTAACAAGGCAGCTGTGGCAGGACAAATGACAGCATTAATTAAGTTCTATTGCACACTTTTTTTTATGTGTACCCTTAATTTGAAGACCACCAATTTTTTTTTCTCATCTAATGTTTGTATTTACTTACAAAACACTTTTACCCATCCTTGGATTAAAATTAGTACCTACGTAGAGAATTCAATGTCAAAGTCGTCATAAATTCTTCGTTCTCTTTTTAAACTATTTGTATTTTTTAAAGGTCACGGAATGATACTCTTATCAGTAAACGTATACTAATTTCCGTTTGTCATTGTGTTTTAAACTGTTGGTAAAGATGTACTCCACGTAAATAAATATTTAAAAAGGAAATGGGTTGCATAATTTCGGATGTGAGCAGCTTTGAAAAGATATAAAACAAACTAATGTCAAATCATGTTCCTTTTCGTGCATATCTTTTTATGTATACTTTTTGACGTAAACAATTGAAAGTCAGCATATAAAATCACATTTGGACATAATTTTGGAAATTGAAAGGAAAAAGTACTATATTTAAAAGGATATTTAAAAAGTAGATTAAATAATCATAACAATTACTATGTCTAACCTAACATAACAGAAAATATATAAAATCAAACATTAAAATGGTATAAATTTCAAAAATAACAATGTTAATGTTGCTTTATAACTATAGATAAGTTTTTCTACTGTTTTGTATGGTGACCGTTAGTACGAGCTTCTTGTTTTAAGAAATTGATCTATTTTTCAAAATTAACTTTATTATTTGTTTGCAAGTTCGTTTCTTATAAGTCATTATTGAATTCAACTTTCATTCAGTGTAGACCAGAATAATCAACTATTAAAATACGTTTTTTTACATGAAAATTTTCTTTTTACCTATAGCGATAGAATAGCATTTCTTCGTAAATTCCCATGTAGGAAATATCGGAATTAACAACTGGCCCAAACCTACAGAAGTATTGGGAAATCAAGTATTACCTTGTCGATTAATCTTCTAGTATCAAGGATTGGTACAATAACGTTTCGCCAAGTTTGGTCCAGTAGTGCGAAGCCAAGTAGGTATAGGTTTGTCAATATTGAACCAATATTCAGCTAATCATCAAGCGCCAAGGTTCGGTACATTAACGTTTCACCAAACTATGTGTAATACTGGGCATAAAGGTATCGATTAATCATTACTCTGTAGATTAAATAATCATAACAATTATGTTGGAGGTATACCTACGAACAATAAGTTACAACAATCTTAGAGTAACAAAAATTAATTTACTTAAAAAAAATTACAGTTAATTTTACAAAATAAGTTTACGCCGTAATGATGAAATCAGTACCTATAACGAAAGAGGTACGGTAAATAATTACAGTGAACTTTAAATAAATGTTACTAGTTCCGGTTTATATTTTAAATGAACAGCATGACGCAGGGAACTAGTTGAAACCATAACTTAATCTAACTAAGTAAAAGTTTCAAATTACCTATTTGAATACTCAAAACATCCATTTTAAATAGAAAATGTGTACGTTACTAATACTTAGGTACTTATTTGTAATTAATGTACTTTCTAAAAGAAACAGATAACCAATTTAAAGAGAGGGTTGACATGAAACCGTTGAAATGATCCTAAAATGTTTATAAAAACTA